GATAATTCGATATTTCGATAACGCTTAAAGAAAGGGTTATTTCCTAATAATTCCAAGATTCCGATAACGTTACGCCCAGATTCACGGCAGATCGTTTATCATTGGACATTTATAGACGAAATGAGAAATATCCCTTCGTCGTTCGATATTTAATCTCGGGTGCCCCGCAGAGCGTGGAGGGTTTTCGATTGCTCGAAAAACGGGGGGGGCCTCTCGTTTACGGCCCGCCGGGTCACAGGTCGCGGCTGACTGATTCACAATGCGCAATCCCGGTCGTATATAGATATCCGGACGGAATTTTTTTTTCCTCTCCTCCCGTAAACGAGTTCTCCGTCGAACCGGAAAACGCAACGCGCGCCGTCGCGTCGCGTTGCGGTCCGCGTACGCGGTTGCGACGGAAAACTGTGGAGAACGGTCGACCGACTGGACAGCCGAAGATAAATCGCCGCCGTCGGCCACCAACTGCCCGCGTGTACGCGCGTATTGCGAAATAATATTTAAAGTATGCAAGCTGCATTATACGTGCGTCGGTTACTTGCGCAAACAACCGCGACTTTAAATCGGCGCATCGATTAGAATACGATCCATATGGCAGAAGCGATCGGACTTTTGCGCACCCACGCAATATGAGCTCGACTCGCGCCAGTTTTGGAGATCTAATCGCGAAATAAGAAACACAAACCGCAGCTATGATGACTTGACAATTTCATAAACGGTATTTCGAAATGGCTAATTTTTATTTTTATCTGATTAATTAATTACGTACACTGTTAAATTCTTAATGTCAAATTATATTCCATTTCAGTCGTTTTTACTCAATATGTTGTTAACTTAAGTGAACCAATTATTAACATAATACTATTTTGTGCTAAAATAATAAATTATGAGACATGGGTAGTTAAAAATAACAAAATGTTATTTATCTATTCAAATGTCTCTAAATTTTTATTGGAAAAAGGAAATGTGCAGAAAAAACAGCGAGAAAAAAGAGATTCTAAATTTTGTTAATCCAGGATTAATAGGGGAGGATTAATACGATAAAAATTTTGTTATATACATAATATACATATATCATTTTAAGGAGGGATATAAAGCTGAGAGAATCAAACCCGCGATAACATTAAAGATTCACGACACTCAGGATGTAGTGGCAGCGCGAGGATATACAATCATCTCGGTCGAATACCCGAGTGGGCCGGTACTATACTCAAGCCGTTATAAATAAAACCGAGACTGCTCGTGGTGGAAAGCACGGCAAAGAAGGAAAACGTGGGCGCGCGATTCCGCGATCCCCGATACCGATCGCAGGGATCGGCCGCGAACGAGCCCGAAACTCTCGAAGTAATCGCGTGAACTTTATTGTCTCGAGGAGCGATATTTCTTCGTAGACGAAGTTTCGCCGCGATTCTTTTTGCAATATTATCTGCCAATTTACTCAATCGCTCTCACTTAATTTCGTATATAGTTATTTGCTAATTGTATCTTTTGGATTTTTTTTTAGGAGAAGAAATCGCAAGGAAGGGCAGCTCCGAGGGTGATTCTTGCCATCCGAGGCCACCCTTGCCACTCACGCGACCCGCGATCGCAATGGCGAGACAACAGACCGTGGACCGAAACATCCCTCATCTGCGGGACATCTTTGGCTTCGGCAGCAAATGGGAGAACGCACGCGGCCAGGCCGAGGAGAAGGCGCCCGGCCACGATAGCGCCGTGTCGGTGGGCTCCACGTCCGGCGAGGAGGAGAGCCCGAAGAACAGCAAGAAGAAGAAGTCGCGTCGCCGCGACAACAGCAAGACGCTGACGGAGAGCGACGTGAAGCACTTGGAACGGCATCTCTCCATGAAGAAGACCATACGGAAGAAGATCATGCGCGACCTGCAGCAGGCCTTCGTCGAGGACCCGAATGAGTTTCGCGTCGACGACATCCCGCCGGAGCAGCTCAAGGCAGAGATCAATATCCAGAGTCTGAGCTTCGGCACGCCGTCCCAGAAGCAGGGACGCACGCGTGGCAATGCTGAGAGCACGTTCCTCGACATGCTGCGCGGTGGCGGTAAGAGATCTATTTTTGTCAAAATTAATCCCTCAATGCCCCTTTGCTTCTTTTGATAGTCACATCTTTTTAATGATAATATTTAGGCCACTAATTAGGAAGTTTCTTATTTTTTATTATTTCGAGATCTCTTCAAGATGTAATAAGTTAGCGGATAATTTATTACAATTTAATATATCTCGCCTTGAAATATTAGAGCAAATAACTTCGTATTTAAATGTCATCAGAATTTACATAACTCCTTCAAGAAGAAATTATAATATTTCTTTAAGAAAAAGAAGTTATAATATTTCCTACATTTCTGAGAACTGACTATCAGAAGATCAAATTGGATTCAAAGGATAATTTATTTGCAAAATAAGATCTACCTCGCATCCTAAGTTTTAGCAAAAAAAAATGTACTCGATTTTGGATTTTGATATAAATCCAAATCTTGCAGGTCTGGAGAAAAATGGGACGGATGGTGACAGGGATTCGGGACACGGTGGATCGCCGATCAGAGAGGCGTCCAGCGCCCAGGATACGGATGACGAGTCCAGCTACGCGTACGAGGCGCCCACCTCGACGCCGACGAAGAAGAGCGGCAACTTCTGGAGACGTTTCACCATGAAGAATCGCAACAAACGGTAAATCCCAGCGGCAGGAACCCCAGCGCGAGGAGAGAGTACCGGTACTTCATATTCTCCGTAATCTCGATAATTTTTACCAGCGTAATTAACGAGGCAGAGCTTGCAACTGTGATATACATAAACAACCAATTCATCTTCACCTCTCCCTCTCCCCCGAGACGATCCATCCGTCGAATTTTAAGAGGTTCCCGAAATTCGATCCGCGCACAAGACCGAGGACCAAGAGATTTGAACGTACAAATTTTGGACCAGCGTTTTTTTTTATCATTTGTTACCACGACATATCACCGTACGTATCTATTGCGGACCCTGAAAGACCCCGACAATATATCTTTCTTAAATTACAAAATAAGAAAAATTCGGATAAGGATTTAATTTGTAAAATACGAAAAAGACATATGTACTTTCTATTTTGAAGAAAGACAAAAATTGATGTTACTTTACGTTTAGAGCCCTCGATTTCTCATTAGCGATGCTAAGTATTTAGACTAGCATTGGAGCAATGAAATAATAATTCGCAAATGCAATTTTAGCTGCTGTCTCCGTATTTAAAATGACATGGATATATATTCAAGCTTTAAAAAAAAAGAGAGAGAAACAAGGAGGAAAGTGCAGCTAGAACGAACAGATCTATTTAAGGATTGTCCAAACAATTCCGCTGTATGTATACTCTTTTGAAACATCGGAGGAACTTCTTAAAACTTCCCGACTTGAAATGTAACGATCGATGTGTGCCCGATAATGTAACTCCCATCTTCTGACACGTACTTAAAGGAAATGTAAAGAGTAAAAACAGAGGCAGCGAAACACGAGTGTGTGCGTAGTATTTAAGGATAGTTAGTTCTCTTAATGTAAGAATGCGGCAGAGGCAGTTATGGGTGATCTGTAATAAGCGTAAAAGTGGTGCGTACGGTGTGCGCACCGGTTAGTATTAGCTAGTCAACGACGCTAACACGTACACTCGTGAGACCCGATCGATTTTCTTACTGACAAAATTTGATATCGTATTCTTTGTAAACAAACTCGAAAGTAAAATATTTTTTAACTACTTTTACTACCAGTTCGCGAATTCACAGCCTTAAGGCTTTTTATCTGAGAAACATGTACGATACATGTAAGGAACTTACTGGATTACGTCGTTTAAGTGTGACGCATTGCATTTTCCGCTATACACTCTAACTTAAGCTATGTTGACGTTTACCGAAATCCTGTTGTTCCTACCGTTTTTCGAGGTATCTCGTTAGTATTATAGATATCGTCATTTGCGACATCGATAACGGTTCACATATTCTCATCTAATCTTCACTTTCTACTATGGTAATAATAATTATTATTATTCCTTTTAATATTAACTGCAACGCTATATATATTAGCTTTAAATGTATCATACTCGAGACCTACGTTATGTAAGAGCAGTAATATACTCGAATAAAAGTCTCATTTAGACGTTGTGCCTGTTCTTGCATTTAGACGTTACGCCAATCATTGCATCGTTTCTTGCAAAAGATTTATTGCAGTATATATATGTATATGTCGTAACAAATATAACAGGTAATATCTCATGTCTAACTCCTTAACTGACGAACAGACTCTCTCCTTTTTTTTTAGAAAGAGAGAGAGAGAGAGAATCAAACAGCAGTTGATAGATTTATCAGTCAGTTAAAAGCGAAAGGCAAGATATGTTGTAGATACATTCTTATTACAAAAAAGTATAAAAATAATTTTAAAAATATTCATTAACACTTCGCGTCTCTTCTCTTAATCTTACGGATAGAGATAACTGAAATCTATTCATTTGTGTATTTTGGTGGGCGCTTCTCCAGGAAAGCCGCCATGCCTTCCTTTCTATCCGCCTGAAAAAAAATTAAATTTTAACTTATAAATAAATCCATTCTTTTCACTGATTATTCAGAATATTTAGATTACTAATAATCACAAACGGATTTCTCACCAGAGAGAAAGTGCTGTGGAACATTCTCTTTTCAAACAGAAGTCCTTGTTGCAATGTAGTTTCATATGCTAAAATTAACGAATTGAAATTAGATACGTCACGTACCAGTTTGGATTACATCAAATTACTTAAGCAATCCCTTAAATATTATTTTTACCGGCATTAACAGCTTCTTTGGCTATCGTCACAACCAATGGTGAGTGAGATGCAATCTTTTCGCCCAATTTCACGGCTTCTTCGACGACTTTATCAGTTGGAAAGATTTTGCTGACCAAACCTAGATAGATAAGATTTAAAAAAAAAACTTAGTATTTAAAAAAATTAAAATAATTCAAGCTTCAGTATAAATTAAGATCAAAGGAGATAAAATGAACCGAACTAGTTCTTGTGCTTGTTATGTATTATCATCTAAATTTAGATGATTTAGATTCAAAATTTATATTTAAAAAAATGATATATGTATATATATATATATAGATTTTAAATAAATACCAAATTACCACTATTTATTATCATACACTGAAGATGATCTTATATAGGTTGAAACATATAACATATTATTTTTTTATATTTATTTAAATATTAATACATAAGAAGTATTAAGAACTAGCTCGATTTATGGGATGAAAAATATGAGTAGAATACAATATTAAGATTAAAATTGATTAATTGATTTGCATTAAAAAAATGCAAAAACAAAACAATCAGTATATAAAATAAAAAATGTGTGTATAAAATATGTATGTGTACAAGTAACTTCTTAAGTTCCTTCTGGTTGCAATCAAGCGTTATCTTTAACTTACCGCTCTTTTCTGCTTCCTCCGCGGAGATCATATTGCCGGTGAGTACCATTTCCATAGCTTTACTCTTGCCGATAATCCTGGGCAGCCGTTGGGTGCCGCCTGCGCCGGGAATCGTACCGATAGCGATTTCGGGTTGACCAAACTTGGCATTCTCGCCGGCGTAAATAATATCACACATCATTGCGAGCTCGTTCCCTCCACCTAACTATACGAAACGAAACGAAAATGCATGCTATCGATTCACTGCATTTCTTCTTTGGCAAATACTTTTCCAAAGGTACTCCGTTACTTACAGCGTAACCGTTTACAGCAGCAATTAGGGGTTTCCTGCTTTTGGCAACTCCGTTCCAGTGAGCTATAAAGTTTTGCCTCAGGTTCGATGCGAATGAATTATCCTTCATTTCCTTGATGTCCGCACCTGAGAATAATTAGATACATCTCTCTATACGTCTCTACACACAGAAAAATATCGTTCTATAGCCAAGAAAAGCAATTACTCATTTTATTTTATTTGGTTTGAGTAACAGTTTTCTTTAACAAAGAATATTTTCTTAATATTAGTTTCTTAATATACTCATCATAAGTATTAGAAAAGCTTATCATCATGTGCTTAAAAGAAGAATTTATTCTTCTTTCAAGTATATTCCGAAACTTTATCTAAGAAAAGCAACATAAACTTGATTTGAATATTTACTGATTTTTTAGGTAAGAATATGAAATACTTGGCTGTAGAACGACATTCTTCTAGGTTAGGAGGTTTTCGTGCGCGGTCCGGAGGGATACAGTTTAGAATATTGAAATTCCTGTCATCAGGTGGACTTGAACCCGGTTCCTCGTGGTTATGAGTCTGATACTTTATCACTAGGCCACATCTCTGATTATATTTTTAGTGCTGCAGTATCTAGTTTAGACAGAAGTGATTCATTAATTTCAAGTATATTCTGTAAACTTTATCTAAGAAGCCACATAAGCTTGATTTGAATATTTACTGATTCTTTAAGTAAGAATATGAAATACTTGAAATCAATAAATTACTTCTGTGAAAACTAGATACTGCAACACTAAGAATATAATCAGAGATGTGGCCTAGTGATAAAGTGTCAGACTCATAACCACGAGGAACCTGGTTCAAGTCCACCTGAGGACAGGAATTTTTATATTCTAAACTGTAAGTACTACCCCTCCGCACAGCGCACGAAAACCTCCTAACCTACATTCCACTTAGGAACTAAAGAATTAAAGAAAATTAAAAAAATAAAAATAATATTAATTGTAATCATCAAGAATACAAATTCTTTTTTGAAGTAAACGATTATTCTAGATGAATAAAATTTTTACTTGATTCAAATAACGGATAAACTTCTCTCAAGAAAATGTAATATCTTTATTGAAGTATATGCTTCTCTTCCGTAGACTCTATATTGTAAGTAAACAAAATATTCGTATTAATTTAATATTCTTGTTTCAAGTACTAAACTTGCTAAGATCTAGAATATGTTTTGAGTAAATGTGATACTTATGACGACTTTATGGTAGATTTGCTCATATATGAACTTATCAAATACTTGAATCAAGTAATATTAACTTGCAGGTAGTTTATATTTTTCTGTGTGTATATTATAATAAAGATTCCAATAATATTATCCGTTTAATTTCCCGATATGTGTATTGTTAGAAAATAATATTACTGTAGTGAAGTAAAGTTGGCGAATAGTCTTACCAGCAGCGAATGCCTTTTCGTTTCCGGTAATGACGACAGCAGCGATGGACGAATCTGAGTTTAAATGATCCAGAGCATGATTCACTTCGGTCATCAATTGATTGCACAGAGCATTTAGGGCCTTTGGCCTGTTCAAGGTGACAATGCCCACATTCTTCTTTTCACCCGCAGTCTCCACTTTAATGAACTCGTAATTGCTAGTTTGGCCTGTATCAAATCAGATTAGAACAGACTTTTTTTATTAAAAAAGCTAAAGAGATAAAAATTATATTACTTATATCTATCTAGGTTTTTATTAAAAAATAAATAATGATTAGCGAGATAACATTTTCGATCGTAATAAAATTTCAAGTATTCGGGTAATAACGAAATTTTTACTATATATGTATTATATATATTTTTTTTATTATAAAAAGTCTAATTTTTAACCGAAATGCGATTATTAGAGTTGTAATATAACAGGCTAGCTTCCCATATGATTTTTATATTTCTTGCGGATAATTAATGCGCGACTAGAAAAAGATATCATTGATAATTATTTTTAAATAATGCATTCCGAAACGAAAAAAAATAAAATGCTGTTTTTTTTTGAATGTATATTATCTGTAGAGACGTCCAGAAGATATCCTATCTCCTAAATATATCTTATACTGTCTTATAGTATAGATAGAATTAATATTATAATGATCGCGTTCGATGCTTTGGAAAAATATAAGTTATTTATCAGGCATTTAACAATTGCAGTTTTGTCATAATCAATATCTTTTTTTTATATTATGTAATCGAGAACGATCATCGTCGTCAAGAAGATAACGGCTGGAATTCGTGCATTGAGCTACGAATAACAAGGTTTATACCATGTATAGGGTGTCTCAGAGAGAGCGGAAGATCTTTTAACTTCTTGTCTAGTTTAAAGCATGATTTTGTTTTTAACATTTCAAAATTTTTAGTGAATTATTTTACGCAAACTGCGTAAAGAATTATATATAATTTAATTGCCTTCAAGGATTTGCATAAATTTTATAGATATTCTGACTGAAAAGTAGTTTTGCGCGCTCGAGATCAGATATGTGCGTTCGAGGGAAAATAATGGAATGACATATGTTTGCTGTGCTGAACGTTGCTACAGGCATAGATCGCCCTTATCATATACGAGATATCGTTCTATTTCTATTTCAAAATCTATACAAGATTATACAAATATAGATATAATTTATATTCTCTTTTTCCTTGAGATACATAAATATGTGCTCGGTATGACATGTGCAATTTTAACTCAGAGAGTACGAGTAAATAAGCGATAATCATTTCGTGACGTAGGTAGCACTTGTTATCAACACCGCGCATATGTATTTATTACAATTGACTAAATCGTTCTCTTAAAACCGCACAATGTTGCAATTGTTGCAAATTAAAAATAAATTAAAAATTATATGCACGATGTGACAAAAAGAAATAATCATAATTCATAAGAAATCTGTCTTGTATTCTATATTGATTGAGATTAATATGCAGTACGCAAACAAATTCCTTTCATGCAGGCTCGAAAACAAGTTTTCTGACAGCGTAATGTAACGGTTATAGCGGGTGTACCATATGAAAATAATGTCGCGGTCAGCTGACCGGCCGGTGATGTTCGACGCGAATGGAGAAGGGATCGCAGATGAATTCGGATACTTACAGGAATAACACCTGATAGCGGGCGCGACGAATTGCTGCGGTTTTCGAGCGGCGTGCGACACGCGCGAGAATAAAATTTGCGACACACGGCTGGCAGACATGTTTATCGTTCAGACGCCCGTAGATAAATGTGACTTGTGAAATGGAGCAAAATGGAGCTCGTGGCCTCGTGGCCGCTGATATCACACAATTCTACCAACTTCACAACAACACAGTATTCTTTCTTCCGATATTCACTGCCTACTGAAAATCGCTATAGTGTACGTGACATAAACTACAGACTTTCAGTACTGGCAGTGATAGGGGCTGGAAATATCTGGATAATGCAACGTTTGAATTGTTTGGGCTTTATGGTATCCGAAGAATTGAATCCGCGAATTCACATTCAAACCGCAATTAAAAGGACCACTTCGACCAAGCTCCGATTAATTTAATCGTTGATTATAGTCCACTGGAAATGACCAATCGCATTTGTCAATCTGCTTAATGAGCAAATGCGATTGGTCATTTCCAATGGACTAATTTGGAGTTTGGTCGAAGTGGC